ATATTTTTAACTCTGTGACGAATTCTTTAAAGGTCTGTCCTTTAGATTGTTTGCACGATTTAAACTTATACCTGGAGTATATGTGGTTCACTTTGGATGCACATTATGTCTCGAAACCTTTGTAGTATGTCTGAAGCAGTTTTCTTTGATCAGCTGTAACTGTCCAGGTTGAAAAAATTTGGCGACCCTTCTCACCAACCCATAACATTAAGTAGTTGCACTTAGCTTCCTCTGTTTTCTTTTCTAGTGGCCCTCCAAACATAAGCTAACAATGTTCATTAAACTTCATAAAGGCGTTTGGCAAGTCTCTAGGTTTCCAGTCCATTCTTGGGTTTGTTTGTGAATCCATCTTTTAACAATGGTTATATATCCCAAAAATAGGTTTAATTTCTGTTATTTTAATTATTATTATAAATAATTTAATCCTTTTATTCTGACACCATGTTTTATGTTTGTTAATTTGGTGTGGATGCAGAAAATACGAGGTGTTGATACTATGAGTTTATTTCTAAGACCGTCTAACAATACAAGTAGGCGGAGCTTAAAGGTGCTGCATGCAATATATATTTAATGTAGAATTAAATATGAAACAGATTCCACTTCACAGTAGCATTAAATACATATTGCTGTCTTATTATTTGACTAATAAATTTTTCACTGCCTTATTCATGTTACGTAAGCGTTCCTTGCTTACCCTGAGCTTTTGTTTTGATAATTTCTGAACATTATTCCTACCACTTCCAGTAAGAATAATTTCCAAGAAGCATTCCACAGAAACAGCAACAGTCAACCAAGGAATGGATTTTTTTATGGTGTTTTTGCCACCGTATCGCCTATGCTTACACCTAAGCATTTTGAAGACAATGATTTGATTGGCTAATCAAAAGGTCAAATTTAGGCAACACCGAATGCCATGTCCTCCGATCCTACGAGCATAGGGTAGTGGAGTGGCAGTTAGGATATGATTTAAATGAGATTGAATTAACATCAGGGCTATTTTAGGCTATGTAATTAGTCCCCTACCAGTCTACCGGAGGGGACTTTAGGTTTACCCTCCGTCCGTCAGTCCGTCCGTCAGTCTGTCCACAAAACTGGATCCCGCGATAACACAAAAAGTACTGAAAATATTTTAATGAAACTTGGTATATGGATAGATGGCAGTATGGAGATTATGCACGTCTTTTTCTTTTCTTCCTATGTTGAAAATTCTGGTTGCTATGGCAACAAATAGACTGAAAATATGGCAAATTTTACACATAACCTGGATCCCGCGATAACGCAAAAGTACTAAAAATATTTTTATGAAACTTGATATATGGATAGATGGCAGTATGGAGATTATGCACGTCTTTTTCTTTTTTTCCTATGCTGAAAATTGTGGTTGCTATGGCAACAAATAGATTGAAAATATGGAAAATTTTACACATAACCTGGATCCAGTGATAACGCAAAAAGTATTGAAAATATTTTTATGAAACTTGACATATGGGTAGATGGCAGTATGGAAATTATGAACATCCTTTTCTTATCCTCCTATGTAGAAAATTCTGGTTGCTATGGCAACAGATAGACTGAATTTCAAGATTTCTGACTCTAGTTTTTAAGTTTTTTTCACTATAAGTTCTTTATATCTTAAGGTATTTTCTTCAAACTTTAAATATAAGTTGCTTGTCATCAACAACATCATATGTGACAAGGTTTACAATTTTAGCACACAATTTATCAGAATTACCTCCTTTGAACTTAAAATTTTCATGAAAAAAAAACATTTTTTTTTTAATAACTTCATTTTTCTAAATGTTTCTACTTCAAACTTCATATAAATGTTTCTTATTATCACTCAACATTTGTGAGTGTTCAACACTCTAGCAAGACTATTTCTAGAATTATGCCCCTTTTTAACTTAGACTTTTTTTTGAGAAATTGGTAATTTTTACTCCAACTTCTTCAATCATGATAGAATTTTCTTCAAACTCCCACATCATTATAATATGACAAGGTTTATAAATCTAGCATCCATATTTCCAGAATTATCTCCTCCTTAAACTTTTAATTTTTCCTATTTGTTCTTTTAACTTTCATTTACTTCAATTTCAAAATAAATATTCAATATTCATACCTTCATTACTAATTGTTCTTTGTTACACTCACATCATGTATGACATCGTTATCTTCTTTTTTTTTAAATTTTGCTTTTAAAATGTTATATTTTGATAACAGGGATGTTTAAAAAATAACTTTAGACTGTCTTTCAGTCCGTCTGTCTGTCTGTTCACTGTGATCACTTTTAAAGAACTTTTTCAACAAATTTACTTAAAATCGAAACATAAGTGAATGGCCAATGGCCCTTCAGAATGTTGCTTGGGCTCTTACCGGTAGGGGACTTATGGATTGCTTGCAATACTTTGATAATTGCTTGTTTTACATGTATCTGTTGGTTTGGTCATACAATTTGAGCCGTGCCATGGCAAAACCAACATAATGGGTTTGCGACCAGCATGGATCCAGACCAGCCTGTGCATCCGCGCAGTCTGATCAGGATCCATGCTGTTCGCTTACCAACCCTATTACAAGTAGAAAACTGATAGCGAACAGCATGGATCCTGATCAGACTGCGCGGATGCGCAGGCTGGTCTGGATCCATGCTGGTCGCAAACATACTATGTTTGTTTTGTCATGACGCGGCTCAAATTTTATATATTATTGTTACATGAAACATGAAATATAATATTTAAATGTTTGATTAAATGAATGAAAAACATTATTTTTTGTTTGTAGTTTTTACTTGAGTCACAAATCATTATGAAGTGAATGACATCACATCTGTTTGAGAGGCTTTCTCAGGACTTAATGTAATTTTTATAGCTATTTTATTTTATGATTCTCCTATTTAACTAAATAGGCAGATTTAACTAAATAGGGAGAGGACTGGGTTGTAATTCAAGGAAGGGGCACTTGTTTTATCCCCGGGAGAGGCTGCATTTCTCCATGACATTGAGTTTTATCATCAATTGTCTCTAACCACTGAATTTAGAAATCATGTGGAATAAGTAGTAGGACACATGCAAAGAAATTGGTAATTACAGGTTACTTATCCAGTAAAGCCATCTGAGGTTGACCTAATGCCAAGATATGACAAAAAAGTGTGAACACCAAAATAAAAACAAAGACAAATGAATGATAAGATATTGAAAAGCTGGTTCATGATAAGATATTGAAAAGCTAGTTCATGATAAGATATTGAAAAGCTGATTCATGATAAGATATTGAAAAGCTGGTTCATGATAAAGATATTGAAAAGCTGATTCATGATAAGATATTGAAAGCTGTTTCATGATAAAGATATGTTTCATAACACCATAGATAATAAGACTTGGCGCCAAATTTGGTAAAATCTGACTGATGAAATGGAAACATAGAATGCAATGTAAAATAAAAGAAAACATAACACTGGCACATGCCATTGCTGACATGTGACCTCAATATTACTGTCACCTGACCTAAATGGTGTTAGCATATGACCCTCAATGCCATCCGGTTAGCTCAATAGGTAGAGCGTTGGACTGTGAATCGGGCGACCCGGGTTCGATTCCCAGACAGTGCAGGTCACATTTGTTGCAATTGATCATGAATTCTTTCTATGGTCATTCGCACTGTACTTCTGCTCTGGTATGTACAGAAGTTTCAGTTTCTTGCCAAAGTGAAAGCAGCTAGTACTGGTAATCTGCTTGACAGCCTGCCCAGGAATGATGCGGTGGTTGAAATGTGCTCTGGTGAATTCAATGTGGCTTACTACCGTGATCTGGAGTGTCAAACTACCAACACACACACCCTCAATAGTATTGGCATAAGATCATTTCTGTACTGAAGGAGCAGCTAAAAAAACAATAGATGAAAATAAAAACATAGGCATTTTAAATAACAAATTTTATTAACTATAATTTTTAGCACAATTAATCAGACAGTAATGCCGTAAAACTTCTGAAAGACATGTTCCTAAGACTGGACAACATTACAACAAACATGTACACAAAGCAGATAAAAAGACCCTGCTCGGCTATCAAAATTTGTGATCATATAAATTTTCTTAACAGATTAAATATCATATTAAAACCATAATACTTATGTTTTTATAGCAAAAACAAGTATAGAAATATCAGAAAAAAAATGAAATAAATCATCAAAAATGAGATTAAACTGTTATGGTAAATTCAACAAATACAGCTTAAAATTGTTAAGAAAAAGTGTATCAAGCAAAGTTTTAAATCTTATCAAAAGATATGTTAAATAGTGTGATTATAAACCTCTATGATTAGTCAATTTTGTGTAATTCAATTTTTATCACTTTGTCACGTCAGTGCAGTAACGTGTTAAGTCCTTCTAAATTTGATCAGAAATAACCAGTTATTCCACTAAGGTGACAAATTACTGCAATCATCAAAAACACTTCTACACTGAAGGAAGCAAAGCCACCCTACCAGTATATACATGTATAAATATTGTTAGAATGCAAAGGATAGCATAAATCAACATTCAAGAGATTTTTTTCTTACCATTTCTGATCAAACAATAATTATAATAATTTAGAATAGTAGTCTAATAATTCATGGAATAACATATGACAGCTGTTCATATTGCACACATTATAAAATTACAATTTTCAGCACATCACACTAGTGGCACACTAATTGTCTAATTGTCATGACTTCAATCTGACACAACCATAGAAAGTTAAATGACATTTGCAGCTCCACACCAAAAATTTGCAGCTTTACACCAAAAGTACATTTAATTAAATTTGCAACATTTACTTTTGAAAAACTGGGTTCATATTTGATTCATTTCTTGATCACAAATAAGACTGCGAATGTAATGTTAAGTTCATGGGTGCAAGTTGAAAATTTTGAAAAACCTGAAAACTGTATTTCATAATCATTTTTCTACATAATGTAATAGTAAAACATGATGAAATTTGTCACAAACAACCTGAACTTCAGGCATATGCCTGAAAACTTGCACCCATGTAAGTTTAGTATTTCATAGCACTACAATTATCGCTATGACGATAATCTCTCTATGATCCAGTCACCTTCTCCTTTCACCATAAGAGTCTCGTTAAAAGTTTCACCGTCGGAAAGTTTACGAAACTGGATTCGGTCATGAAGCCTGTTTGTCTGCCCCTGCCAGAATTCAAACTGATATGGTCGCACCAAGAATCCTCCCCTGTCAAAAAAATTTATCACCATGATTACTACAGGATTATATTCACGTTTGAATTTAACTTTTTGGTTGACATTCCCTCTATTTTGAATAATAAAATATTAACTATAACTTTCATTTTATTTGAAACTTCAAATAAAACATTTTAAAAATTTGGTTGGTTTTCATGTCACACCAACACTGTAGAGGTCATATTGCCACTTTCTAGCTTTACAGGTAGAGGGAAGACCTTGGGTGCCCCTCTCATGCATTATTTCAGATATAAGTCATAGAACCACCACTCTTCTGTAAGCAAGATGGATAGCTTCCAAATATCAAAGAATTCAATATAATCAATAAGCCTGCGAGATAGAGGAACCACCGACCATTTTTGAGCTCCTCACATAAATTCATTCATTGTACCTAGCATGACATGCTCCAAACTAACTCACTTTGAGCTAAAATCTCCACTTCCTTGAAATTCAGAACACAGAGCTGAGATATGAGTTGAGATTTTTTAAATGTTTATACCCTTGGGGCCTGGACCGACATAGTAATGTTCGTTTATCATGAAATTTTTTTTTTCATTTTCTTGATGTTTTTTTATTGAACTGTTTTCAATGAGCATAAAAAAACTGGTCAAAGTACATGTATCTCTTCAGTATAATCTAGATATAATAGATGGTCCTTACCAGTAATCAGGTTTAGGCACAGTAACATCGTCTCCCCCATATTGTTCCTTCAGATCCTTCAATTTCCTATCTAATGTCTGAAATATCAGTAGCAAAATAGTTCACTAATTCACTACAGCAATCACATATCTCTTTAAATTATGTTGTTAATTTCATTTTCAAAATAAGTTTATTTGATTATTTGAATGAAAAAGTTGCTAGTTGTTTATTAACGAATGTTCCTGTATTCTTTACCTGAGTCAACTTCAATGTCAACTAAGACTGTTCTACTGCTTGTAGAATATTCCTTGAGGCCCCTAGTATGCTAGAGCACTTGCAAAATTGTTTTCTTATATTTAAGTAGTCATCATACTTTGGGATAGGGCCTATCCCAAAGTATGATGACTACTTAAATATAAGAAAACAATTAGGGGCTACGGGGAATGATTCAGGGGTTGTAGGGAGGGATTCAGGGGCTGTAGGGGAGGATTCAGGGGCTGTAGGGAAGATTCAGTGGCTGTAGGGAAGGATTCAGGGGCGGTAGGGAGGGATTCAGGGGCTGTAGGAAAGGATTCAGGGGCTGTAGGGAAGATTCAGTGGCTGTAGGGAAGGATTCAGGGGCGGTAGGGAAGGATTCAGGGGCTGTAGGGAAGATTCAGTGGCTGTAGGGAAGGATTTAGAGGCTGTAGGGAAGGATTCAGGGGTTGTGGGAAGGATTCAGGGGCTGTAAGGAAGGATTCAGGGGTTGTAGGGAGGGATTCAAACCCACAGTTACAATGGAGAAGGTGATTATTCATTTACAAACTCTATAACCATACAGTCATGGATGACAATGTTGCAAGGCTAGTAAGTAAAATCTATTTGTAGAATTATTTTCATTTCATCTTAAACATTGTGTACCCAATAACAAGAAAAGATAACTCATGCTTACTTGTCTGTCTGGAATTACTGTACTTTGATTACTAACTATTGCACCAATCTGGCTTTCTTTTGGTCTTGAGTTGAAATACTCCTTAGACTTATCTGTGGATATCTTCTCAACTTTTCCTTCAATTCTTACCTGTATAATTTTAGACCAAATGAGTATACAAGTTATCTGTATGCCTTAAAATGAGATACTTTAATATATCAATGAGATATAAGCCATATCACACAGTGAAATATAAAATTTTGGGTCCTGTTTGTATACAGTGTTAGATAGAATGCAAAACTTTAATGAAGTATTACAACACCACTAACAGTCCAACATAAATCTTATTCTTCAAAAAGTCCTGATAAAACATTACAGACATTTGAGAAAGGGTTAAATGCTGATGGGGGAGGGAATAGATAATCTGTTTGTATAAATCAGTAACAAAATAATATAACCTTTTTAAAGTATAAACAATTATTCAAATCTAAGTGTCAAAGTATAAGAAATGAAAGACTGAATGAGTACTTACAGATCTTTTCAGAGGTTCCCAGTAAAACATTAAAGAGCATTGTGGATTTTCTTCCTGCAAATACAATGTATTAAAACATCTATACATTTAAATTAAACTTTTCTACAATATAATTTTAAAATGTTTCCTTTAATTATATTTCAAACATTTTTAAAAGTATTTTTGTTGCATTTAAAATTAAACTAAAACTGAGGGGAAAAGGTTTTCAAAGTCAAGATCACTGTGACCAATACACATTGTCATCCCCAAATCATTAGGGGTCTTCTACTCAATGTGGTTGATTATCTTAAGAAGTCTGAAGGCTATATATCAAATGGTTCTCAAGTTATTGAGGGGAAATGATTTACACATTCAAGGGTTCTGGTAGGTATAACCTTGACCTTCCACAGAGTCCCATACTGAATAAGGGTGATCATCCTACCAAGTCTGATGGTTCTCTAAAACAAACAGGTCTATTTTCAGACCAACAAACATATCCCCTTATCTTCAAAGAAAGGGGGGGGGGGCATATTGATAGTTGAAAGGCCCACAACTATAACCTTTAAAAATCTTACCAGTTCTTTCCCCTTTTTACTCTCATAATTTGTGAAAAATGTGAATCCCTCTGGAGATATATTTTTACATAACACAATCCTTACTGAAGGTATTCCTGACCTGCAAAATCAAATAAAAAATATGTTAAGTCATTAACGCTTACAGAAATATCTTCAATAAGAATATAAAATATCCTTGATAAATATATTATTAATGTAACAAAGGTTAAATAATGATGATAAAAAATATATAGACAAATAGATTAGTTGCCAAAATATATAAGTTGCCTTAATATGTAAAATACAAAAAACGGTTTCCTTATTTATAAATTAATTTATAAATATATATAGCTTAAACTACTAATGACTCAAACTGTCCAATAGAAACTACACCTTGTTGCTGTAGCAAGAGCCATGGCATTTGGTTCCTCAACTTTTTTGTTTTTACGAATATCTTCAAACCATGCCTCAAATTGTTTTATTGGATCTCTACTTGCCAGATCTGACATATCAAACTTGAAATCAATCCCATGATAAGGGTGCCTCATATCTGTAAACAAGTAAGTGAAAGATATAATTTGAATTGTTTTATAGTTCTAAAATTGAATCTGTGGTATAAAAGGAGTAGTCTAAACTTTACCACCTTTTACGGCCAAAGCGTAAGAAAACGTATCGAATTTTTACATTTCTGAAAGCCAGTTCTTATATTAACAAGACACCATAGCCGCGTAGTTTTAAAACATATCAAAAATATACCTTTTCTAGATCCATAAGCGAAATCAGCGTAAAACTTGAATTTTGTTTCCTGCAACCCCGTAAAAACCTCGTTTTTGTACATTCTGGCTTTTTTAATGTGTTTATGAAAATCGGATGGCCGTCGAAAGGATATACAAGTTTTAGACCTGAAAAATATATAGGGGTCTAATCCAGGAGATTGCCATGGATAAATCTTTTTTAAGCCCCTCTTCTTTCTGCAAACTTTTGCCACAAATTCATGTTGGTATCGTCTTACATTTATTTACATGTATACTGTAGACTATATGTAGCTGTTGTATAAGTTTTTACAACATTATGCTACAGGTAACATTTTAAATTTTGTATGGTACATGTATTTCTCTGGTCCAGTGTTGATCCAGCTTGATTTTAAATTCATGAACACTTTTTGAGTCTACTACATTTTCATTTCTGCTGTAAAGTTTTTGCAATAAAAAAATTTCCCAATTTTGTATTTTTTTTAAAAATCAACTAACGTAAAAGGGTCAATGTATACATTTTAACAAAAAGGGTTCCGAAAAACTCAAAACTTTAACCTAAAAAAGGGGATTAGAATGTTTTTCCCATCGTCAGGGTTTCCCCCTTGCCAATTTAAAATAAATCGAAACCCCAAAAATTTTTTGGGCCATATGTTTTTTATCAAATTGTACAACAATCACCTTTTATTGACCCTTAAATCTTAAATATGTACATGCATAATATACATGATACAGATGACTGACATGTAGAATTATGCTAAATAACCATTCTTGAACATGTTTAATTATGGACTTATTTCTGCGTGTCATCCGTTTATATATTTGCAGAACATAACAATTAAACAAACTCTTTGAATAAACATACCTGACAGGTCTGCCATTTCGATATTTATGCTAAAAATTATGCTTGAAATTTATTAACAGTCACGTTTACTTGGGACGGATGTTGACGGAGGAAGTAGTAACAAACACCGTCTTACACCGTACCTTACCGTAGATTTTCGCGCCCCCCAAAAAAAGAGCTATGGTCGTTAATGTTTAACTATTAAGGCAGAGCTCTATATATCTAGGCGAATTTGATGCAAAACATACTACTAATAAAAGAATTTAGCGAAAAAAATTACTACCTGGTCACAGAGACACGGACAGTGATATCTACATACACTGTATCTGCTGTTCGTTCACACCCCTAGCACCGACCTGGGATGTCCCAGCACCGACTTAAAGCTACATATGCCTCCAGATGAGTCAAAATATTTCAATAAAATCAAACTTGAGAAACATGTACTAAGATGTAAGAAAAGGTAATAGGTTTCAAGATTGAAGTAATATTTTACATATTATGTGCGATTAATTACTGATTTTTCAGTATTTAGAAATCTACTACTGAATTTAGATACCGCGTTACTTACGCAGTAGATGCTGTTTATGCATATTTTGACCACGTTTTGGTAATTTACGTGGCTTATAAGTGCCATTGATAATGTGTAAATTGCTTCCTTTGGTTACTTCACAATATTACACATTCAAATACATTTTTAAAATTAAGGACTCCATTTCAATTTTGATGTCAAGAATAGCCCCAAATAATAATAATAATAATGATGATGATGGTGATGGATAAATAAATGGATCATAAGATTTCATTTTGTAAAAATATAACGGAAATATGTGAAAGAAAAAAACAACAACACTGCATTGCTTCCTATCCCCTACTCACTTCGCTTTCTCCCCGTACAGCCCACTTTTAAGGCAGTTTTTAAGATAAAACACATTCTGAAAGATTCGGAATCAATGACTATGATACTTTTTTCTTCCCGTCGGAGATTGCTTGTCGTAGAGGAGACACAGAGTAGAGCAACAGCAAAACAAGACTCTGGTCCTATAAATATGACGTTGATTTGGGATACTTATATATACTCTTTATTTCCGCTTTTCAGCGATTACAACATATACAACATGAAATATATATACAAACATATGATACATGATTATGACAAATGTACATTTATATATCATTAAAGAGACATAATAATTAAGTTCAAGTTAAATGGTTTCATATACATGTATAAGCTTCTATATGATTATATTTCTATATGATTATATTATCATTATATCAAAGGATATCTTTGAGCAATAAGTATTTAAGCGTAACAATAAAAAACACACATTTATATAATTGTTTTATACATATTTTCATATTTAAAATTTCATTTGAGTTATCTTACTGATAATGCAATGTAATTATATATGGTTTAAAAATGCCTCGGTATTCAACCTAGTATCACACATCTTACCGAAACGAAATATAAGCTATGTAAATTAGGTAATACCGCTTAAATATTTTCTGTCATTTGAAGTACTTGTATTTATTTAAATAAAACGTTTAGTTATTAAAAACTAAACAATCGTATATAAACTTACAAGCACTTTGTATGAAGTCTTTTGGAGAAATTCAAACAATGTCATATATATCCAAGGCACGAGGATTTAAAATAGTTCTTAGAAACGTCTCGTGGTTACATCCTTTCAGGAAGTTACTAAGTTCACAACTATATTGTTTTTCAACACTATTAAGGAAAGTTGTTCGAGTCTTTTTAAGTGAAATACATTTTGATATTACATGGAGATTTATGTCACTTGTTTGAGAACCACATTTCTTGCATATTTTCACATCACTTTGCTTTGCCTCAACAAGAACTTTAGCAGTACATAATGCATGTTACTTACGCAGTAGATGCTGTTTATGCATATTTTGACCACGTTTTGGTAATTTACGTGGCTTATAAGTGCCATTGATAATGTGTAAATTGCTTCCTTTTGGTTACTTCACAATATTACACATTCAAATACATTTTTAAAATTAAGGACTCCATTTCAATTTTGATGTCAAGAATAGCCCCAAATAATAATAATAATAATGATGATGATGGTGATGGATAAATAAATGGATCATAAGATTTCATTTTGTAAAAATATAACGGAAATATGTGAAAGAAAAAAACAACAACACTGCATTGCTTCCTATCCCCTACTCACTTCGCTTTCTCCCCGTACAGCCCACTTTTAAGGCAGTTTTTAAGATAAAACACATTCTGAAAGATTCGGAATCAATGACTATGATACTTTTTTCTTCCCGTCGGAGATTGCTTGTCGTAGAGGAGACACAGAGTAGAGCAACAGCAAAACAAGACTCTGGTCCTATAAATATGACGTTGATTTGGGATGCTTATAAGTTATTAGTCATAAACAATAGTCTATATATATATATATATATATATATATATATATATATATATATATATATATATATATATATATATATATATATATATATAATATATATATATATATATATATATATATATATATATATATATATGGACTACAGAAGACCCTAAACACCAAGAGAGGAGGAAGAGGGGATCTTTAACTGCAATCGCAGTTAGGAAAGAATAGAAAATAAAACACTTGCAGACAGAACTATTTATACATTTTTGCTTTTAAACCACAACTTCTTCATTTGGTGGGAAACTGATCTTTCTATTTATGGCCCATGCATGGTTCCATCTCTACAGAGCGGTCCTCTGTAGAACAATAACTTTCTAGACAACAACAATAACAGTTGACAATAAATTTACCCTTTCCAGAGCAACACCTCTCGTGCAACCACAATCCAAATGATCGTCTACCTAGTATAGGTTTGTGTTTAAGTATGGGTAAGAGTTCGTATTAAGACGACCGTCGAACTCTTACCCATATAACTGCAAATGTAATTCAAAGGCAAACTACAACGCTATTACAAACATGAAAATTTAAAGAAATGAATCCACTTGTCGTGTTTTTCAAGGACTTGATAATATAGGAAAATATTTGAACTGTCAATAATATTAACCTTCCAATTTACATTAACATATATTGTTTTATGATACACTGATGCCAGTTGCGAGGTTAATAGTCTCCCCTTTATTACATCAATTTAACAACTTATAATCTGCGCCGATTAAGTTAATTTCATCCTTTATTTGTCATAAAGCGATGAACATTATTACCTCGAGAAAATAATGTCATATGCTAGCAAATGAATATTCACTTACAGAAGTTACTTGCTGTAATATGCAATTGGCTTATGTCTTAAAAAGGGAGTGCGCTGCTAAACTTAAGACACATATAGTATTGTATGCATGTAACTGACAGAAACAACAGATCAAGCACACATGTATGAATATAGAAAAATGAAGTTTTTCATGTTCATTTCTCTATTTATAGTGCAATTTTGTCGTACTAAATCATCACTTTTTGTATTGTAACTGCATGTTACTAAAAAGCTTTTTTCGATGCACATACCGCATTAATAACTTTTCTATCTTGAGAAAATATTAGAAATGATAGTTTAACGTCTCAATTCTGACTAAAAGGACGCAAAGAAAAGAGGAATTGATAAAAGATTGAACTTAATTTTCTGTCAGAATGTTAGCCACTTTCATGGTATTTCTGCCATCGACGGCAGCATTTATAATATGTATCTGCCTACAACGGCAGCATTTTTTCTTCGACCTGACAAGATTGAGCGTCTGTAAAACTTTCAAGAAAAGACTCATGGGGTAGATATTTGGCTTGCGTGACCCTAATGGATAAACGTCTATAATGATAACAGGAAATCTTGTCATTTACTTAAAACTTGAGATATTTTGAACAGAAAACAGACAATTTCACGGATTTTTCGGAGGCTGTCACTTTTAACCTGCTCAAAATAGTCTTAAAACAGGAAAAAACGAGTCCAAAATTACATTACAGTATCTCCATTCAATGGAAAATAGTTTTATAGCAATGATATGGGCCGTATTTGTTTAATATAATTAAACCAACCAAATTTATAACCTACCTGTACCGATCGGTAATTTTCAGATATCTGCCATCACTGCAGTGATCTGCCATCACTGCCGCCGGTAATACGGTGTGAGAATGGGTTCAGAAAGGGTAGAAGTACAATTGATCATATATCTTCATTAACTAATATTATTGATACTAGAAAAAAGGCCAAAAAATCTACTTTTTGTGCATTTATTGATTTCAAAAAAGCCTATGATTTTATAAATAGAACTATTTTATGGGACAAATTGATGAATTCGGAAATTGGTGTTAATGGCAAAATGATGAATGCTATGAAATCTCTATATAGTCAAGTTACATCTAGTGTTAGGGTTAACGGTTTTTATACAGATTGGTTTGATGTTAAATGTGGCTTAAGACAGGGCTGCTCCTTATCACCTTTGTTATTTAATTTATTCGTAAATGATCTGGCAGTATCTATAAAAGCAGCCGGAAAGGGTATTTGTATTGATAATGAAAAACTATGCATCCTTTTATATGCAGACGATATTGTACTTATAGCTGAAAACGCAGAAGATTTACAGTTTATGTTAGATATGTTAAATAATTGGTGTAACAAAAATACTATGATTGTGAATCCTATGAAGAGTAATATCATGCATTTTAGACCTGTTTCTGTTCCCAGACCTTCATACAGTTTCACATGTGAGGACCACAGTCTGAAAGTTGTTGCCAACTACACTTACCTAGGTCTGTTACTGACCGAGATGCGTGATTTTAATATCATGGTGAAATCTGTTGCTCAGAGTGCTGGTAGAGCCCTTGGTCTCCTAATAGCTAAGTCCAAGTCCTATGGTGGCATGCCATATAAGGCATTCACAAAACTTTACGATAGTACAGTATGGCCTGTTATTGCATATGGGGCATCTATTTGGGGAACAAGATCCTATTCTTGCATAAATGCAGTGCAGAGTCGAGCAATAAGATTCTTTATGGGGTTGGGTAAATATACCCCTATCAATGCCATTTATGGTGAGTTAGGTTGGCAACCCCCTCATGTGAAACAGTGGAGATCTGTGTCTCAACATTGGCATAGAGTGAAGTCAATGGATAGTGAGAGAATTAATTTCAAGATTTTTAGATTTTGTGACAGTAAGAGTAATAATAGTTG